GGGCCCGCTGTCCTCGGAGACCCCGGTCTGCTCCCTCACACCCGGGGTGGTAGAGGCCCAGCGTCCTGCTCTGATGTCGGCCTTCAAGGCCCCATCCCCGGCCGCTGCGGGGGGCGGAGCTCGGAGGCCGCCGCCGAGACCCCATCCCCGCCCCCACGCGCTGCGAGCCTGGGCGCCGAGAGGGGAGCCGGGCCGAGCGCGCAGGCGCAGCGCCCTCAGGCCCAGCCCCCGGGATCGTGGGGAGCACTGAAGTCCCCACCCCGGGGTGGCAGGGTCGGGTCGAATGTCGGTAGAGGGGCCGAGGAGTTCCCGGCATCAGGCCGTGGGTGGTGAGCGAGGGGCGCAGGCCTGGGGCACGCCCCTCCCCCGGGTCCTGGCGTTGGGGATGGGGAGGCAAACCCGTGGCCGGGAAATCGGCTCCAGCCAGGTTTGGAGTGAGGGCGGGAAGCTTGGGGGTCCCCAGGGTGATCGTTGGGCGAGAATATTCTTTGCGGTTGAACGTGTACGACTGTGTGGTGGGTTTGGGGGTGTCATGGGGGAGGTGTGCCAAGGAGGTGTCTGCGGAACTAGCGGTCATGGGTGTGAATGGAGTAGGGGAGGGGTGCACGGACCCGGTGTTTGGGGTAGGTGTGCCAGGGAAGTGATGAGAAGAGGGGAGAAAGTCCAAGGGCGCGTGTGTGAGAAGCCTGTGTGTGTGCATGTGGAGGGAGCTGTTACTGGGGGATTATGCGTGTGCAAGGAGTCACGGGATGCGTGTGTAAGGAGGGATGTTTTCTGTGAACTGATATTGTCTGGGGCAAGTACACAAAGAGTCTTGGGGGATGAATGCATGTAGGTGGAGGTGGGGTTGGGTTTGTCTGGATGGGTATGTGGGTGAGGACTTGGGTATTCAGGGTATGCAGGCTTGGGGGACCCTGGGAGTGTATACTAGAGTGAAGTGCAAAGTGGCATTCGGGGAGGGATGTGGGGGAGAGGGGTCATGTGTGAACCCAGGATGGGTGTGTAGTTCACGGGGCAAGTGTGTAAACATGGTTTGGAATAAATACGCAACAGGTACATGTTTTTTTTTCTGAGCAGAGAGGAGCCCAGAATTGAATGTCCAGACCCTGAGTTCTCTTCGCAACTTTTACTCTTCTCTTTTACTCTCTGGGCCTCAGTTTTACTATCTGTAAAATAGGTCTGAGCATTGTCGAACTAACTAGTTTCTGCCCGGAGTCTCTCCAGAGCTGGAAGTAGGGAGGGTGAAGGTGAGCCTTTTACAGCTTGTCTTTTTCTTTCCCTTACTCTAGGAAAACCCTCCAGGAGCCTCTCCCCAGCCATGGACAAGCCCAGTCTTCCAGAGCTCCAACAGCCCCTGTTGGCAGGTGTAGGCTGCGAGTCCCCAGTCCAGAAGCCTGGCGAGCCAGAGCTGGGGTCCCCCTTTGGAGAGACAGCCTTTGCAGAGTCCCTGACAGGTTGGCAGTTCCTGCCACCACCTCTTTCCTCTGTGAGCGCTTGCCTGGGGGAGCCAGGGCCTGCTGACCTTGAGGTAGGTAGGAGTAGCAGGCCTTAGTGGCAGCCAGGGGACCGGGCTGGAGGTGATCTCAGCTGTGGCCAGCATCTGACAGCTGGTGGCTGGGGTACCTGTCTTTAGCCTAGAGTCTCACTTCCCAGAAGCACGTGGGCTTCCTAGGTTTCCAGTTGTGGTTGACCTGCTCTCCCTCTCCCCTGGTTTCTTTACCTATTTCCCTCCACATTTGCTTCTCATTTCTGTTTCCTCACCTTTGATTTCTGATTTCTCTGCTCTTATCTATTTCTCTTCAGAGCAGACACACCTCTAGGTGTTTGGGGCAGGTGTGCAAGGTGTCTGTCAGCCCCGGTCTCTCTTTTTTCAAATTAATGTCGCTTTTATAATTTCGTATTCTTTGTATATATTGTCAAGCTTGTCTTTTATTTCTCAAACACGGTTTCCTGGTTACTATCGCTGTATAAGAAGTCACTGCAAAACTTAGTAGCTTAAAACGACAACAATAATCATCACTCATGGTTTCTGAGGGTCAGGAATTTGGAAAGGCTTCGGTTGGGTAGTTCTGCCCTAGGGATATTTCATGAGGTTGCAGTCAGCCAGTGGCTGAAATCTGCAACAGTCAGGGGCTGGAGCAGCTGAGGGCTGGCTGGGCACCTCTCTCTTCATGTAGTCTTGGGGTTTCTACCTGGGTCTCCCCATGTAGGCTGGTTTTAGGCTTCCTTCCAGCACGGCAGCTTCAGGGCAGTCAGACTCCTTATGCCTCTAGCCTCCCCCCCACCTGAGTGTCTCAGCAAAGCAGGAGCTGCCTCACCTTTTCTGACTTAAAGTCATGTTGCATTACTTCTACCACATTTCATCAATTATGAGTGAGCCACATCCTGTCCACATTCAAGGAAGGGGCACAGACCTCACCCCTGATGGGAAGAGTATCAGTCACACCGTAAGAAGAGCGCATGGGACGGGAGAGATGGTTGTGGGCATTTTTGGAAAACACAGTCTGCCACATTGTGACAGTAAACATCACTCTGACATTGTGTCTGATCATTCCATTGTTTGAAGAGGTCGAGGGCATTATTTCTGCTCATTCTTATTCATGGTTTCTTATGCGCCTGATTAACTTTGACTGCGGGCTGGTCATGGTATTTGCAAAATTATTTTTAAGAAAGATTATTTTGAGGCCTAAAATGAAGGTAACCTCCTCCAAAGAGGATTGGGTTTGCGTCAGTCAGCTGCCCAGGGGCACTACCAGTGAAAGATCATTTTTAATCTGGTTCAAGGCTTAATGAAAAGGTCAGTTTTTCTGGGATTGGCAAATGTCTGCAGGGCAAAAAAGGCCTCTGTTGATTTGACTTCTCTGGTAACTTTTTCATTTGTTTTAGCATTACAGTAACTCCTTTAAGTCTTGTGAGCAATTTGATGCAAGAATTTAAAAAAAAAAAATTGTGAAATCTACAATCTATAGTTTCAGCAGGCAGTTTTGAACCATCTCCCCGAATCTCTGTCGTTTTGTGGGTTCCTGTCTGCACTGGTGTCTGTCTCCATTTAAGGGGCATTTAAATCAGAGATTATAAGCAGTTGCCATATCCAGGATTGGACCTGTGAACTCCTGGAAATTGAACTCAGAGCTTTGGTTGTGGGTGGGGCTCTTCCCTGCAGATCGGATCCACAGCTTCCCCTCAGAGGCATCCAGGATGTAAAGTCAGGAGGTTGTCTCCTAGAAGTTTTCTGTCTTGCTGTTTCTGGCATTGGTCTTTGGGGGCTACAGAGAGCATAGCAGTGGGGCAGGGAAGGTGGGTGGAGATGCCCACCCAGGCCCTCTCCTGCCCATAGGATGCATCATCCAGTGACAGTGACTCGGACTGGGATGGGGGCAGCCTTCTCTCCCCGCTCCTACCCCATGACCACCTCAGCTTGGCCGTCTTCTCCATGCTGTGCTGTTTCTGGCCTGTGGGCATTGCCGCCTTCTGCCTGGCCCAGAAGGTCAGTCTGTGTGTGGGACTGGGAGGGGACTGGATAGAAAAGAGAAAAATGCATTCAAAACACACAGGCGCGCACGCGCACGCACACACACGTGCACACACGCGCACACACACACACACACACACACACACACACACAGAGGACGAGCTATGCCTGGGGAAGAAAAAGAGATGGAGAGGATTTGCATGGAAACATTCCGGGGTAAAATGAGATTTTATCTCATTTTTTACCTCATTCACAGAGGGCTGCCGAGTTGAGAACCTGATTTCAAATCTGCCACTCTCTGTGGGCAAACCACTTTAACTTCCCTGTGCCTCGTGTCTGTCATCAGTAAAATGGAAATAGTTCCTGCCTCAGGGTCACTGTGTTTAGAATGCTGGCCTACACTAATACACGTATATTTTTATTAGCCACCCAGTATCCCCAGTGCCCAACTGTGTCTGACCCACGGTGGTGCTCTGAGTTTTTGGAATATATGAATGAACGAATGGGTGTGTCCCATGGGGAAGGGGCTGGGGCTGTGGGGAGAGGGGTGCCTGAGTCACCACTGCCCAACACCTCCACAGACCAACACGGCCTGGGCCAAGGGGGACGTCCAGGGGGCAGGGGCTGCCTCCCGCCGCGCCTTCCTGCTGGGGGTCCTGGCCATCGGGCTGGGCGTGTGCACATACACAGCCGCCCTGGTGACCCTGGCTGCCTACCTCGCCTCCCGAGACCCGCCGTAGCCGCTGGTGTGGCCCCCCCTGTGAAGCAGAGGCTGGCCACCCACGTCCCCGGGCAGAGTGGAGAACCTGGTCCTGGTGGTTGTGGTGGCGGTGGCATCCCTTCCTGGCCGCTACGATGTGAGATTAAATACCAGACACGCAGCCAAACTTGTGTCCGTCTGTGTGTGGGGGGACGTGGGGCTGGGGGTGCCTGGCAGGCTATCCCCAGGGTGCTCCCGTGCACCTCAGAGCCAGAGAAGGGGAAAGCTGAGGGGCTGAAGGTTTGCAGGTTACAGAATGTTCTTTTCACCGCCGAGGTGGTCAGTGGAGAATTAGAGCTGGGCGCCAAGTCCTTACTCCTTCACATTGGCTGTACGACCGACCTCGGCCCGAGACTTCTCGTTGAGCCTCGCTTTTTCTCCTCTGCAAAATGGGTCTAATTTTTTCCATACCTGGGAGCCGTGGTGAGGGCCAAACAGGCCATACACGTAAACGGCAAGTGGCAGAAGAAACTCAACTCGGACTCAACTGCCTTACGCAAGAAAAGGGAAGAAAGTTGTGACAGAACAGGATTCAGGGTCTCAAATGATGTAAACGGTCTGGTCTTTCTACCTCTTGGCCCTCTTTCCTTTCTGGCTTCATCTAGCAGGCTTCCCCTTCCAGGGGCCCTGGCAGCTCAGGTGCCCCCGTTGAATCAAATGGCCTGAGACTAGGAGGGATGGAGCCTCACGGTAACATCAAACTGCTGGCACCCAGCAGGCAAAACGGACGTCTGCCCTGAGCGCTTAGCACAGGCACACAGATGTGCTCACTCAGCGGGGCCCACTGTTACCAAGTAATGGAGTGACAGGCCGCTGTTTTCTCACTCCGTCTACTGCCATCCTAGTGGACCTCGCTAGGACCCTTCCCCATTTGACATTCCCCAGAGTGTCTCTCGGAGCATAATTCACGTATACACAAACTTTCTTCTTGGTTTCTGGGGAAGAAAACAACACTGGTCCAAAGCGGCAGTTGTGGGGACTGTGTGAACACGTGAAGCACGCAACAGAGGGCCCATCGCAAACCCGCAAACATCAGTGACTGTCAGGATATGGAGACCACGTGGCCCAGCTGTGGGAGAAATTCACTGCGGGATGCTCACGTTCTTGGCTCCTGCCCACTAAATAAAAGGGTGGGGGAACAGTCAAGTGGTGACTAAAAATGCCCTTCACCCACATTTCCAGATGCCCCTGAGGGGGTGCCACCAGCCCTGATAGGCGCCAGGCCTCGGGCACCCCACTTACAGATGAGGAAATGCAGTCTGCTGTGGCAGCCTCCCCCTGGGTTGGTTCGGACAGTGAGGGCCTCGGACCAGGCTGAGTGGGACTTGGGCTCCATTGCTGGACAACTAACTGGCTTCTGAGCTTGTTTCCTCATTTTAAAACTATAATAACAGCCCCACCACACGGGGCTGTTGGGGTCAGAGCCAGATTCTCCTCCGAGCCTGCAGGGCCCATTCTGTCCCGACCATCTCTTCCCTCTCCTGCCCCCACTGGCTCTGCTCCAGTCACACCGGCCGCCTTGCTGGTCCTCGACCCTCCACAGGGACTTATTCCCCACGTGTCCATGAGTTCGCTTCCTGGCCTCCTCCTGGCTTCTCTCAGATGTCCCCTTTTCCATGAGGGCATCCCTATTAAATATGCCCTCCCCAAATGAACTCGCCCAAACCCCACCTCCCCGCTTTATGTTATTTTCACAGCATTTACCACCATCTGACAAACACCAATTTTATTTGTCCATCACCCCACCGCTCCTTGAACCTGGGACCTGGGTTTCTTGTTCACTGCTGGGTCTTCCGCACCTAGCAGTGTCTGCACACAGTGGGTGCTCAACAGATATTTATTAGACTAAATGGATTAATTCAATGTGCGACCCTACTGGTGTTTTCCTGGGGGCGGGGGATCTGTGACCCAGAGGCTGTAGCCTAGTGATCTTGGGTGCTCGGGTCAGGGGCCCCTGCAGCTACAGGCCCACAAGCGCCCCAGGGAACACAAGGAGACGCAAGGCTGGGCCGCTGCCTGAGGTGGTGGAAGGTGGCAGAGGGAGGGCGCCCTGCCCCAGCTTGCCTCAGCTCTTGGAGTAGCGCCTCTGCAGCGATTCCCGGTAGAAACGGAAGACGTGTTGGGAGGCGGCCTGAGCTGCAGCCAAGCACTGCTGGAGCTGGCGGGGAGAGACTGGTCAGTCCCGCGGCGCTGGGGGCAGGGGGGGATCCACCCCTGCACCCACACACCGCCTGGCTGATTCCTGGGGCCCCCGAACCTACCACCTCCCTCTTCACTTGGGCACCCCTCCTGCCCCCCAGGTGAGGGAGGTGGGGGAAGGGATTATTCCAAGTGCATTTCCTTCTTCCCCACTTCACAGGCTCTTTTTTTTAAGAGGCGTGGGCTTCAGGGGTCAGCTTCCCGCAGCTCCAGGCCTCAGACCAATGGGGTTGGGCAGCCTGATGGCTGGGAGAGACCTGACCTCACAGAGCTCCACAACCTTAGAGCTCACGGAACTGGAGGGATCCTGGAATTTGAGAGCCAGGCCCTGTGATTCCAAATAATCTTAACCCATTTCCTGTGTGTCCCGAGAACACTTGTCGGCGGCACCTGCAGCTGCAGCGTTTGCTCCGATAACTCACAGATTACAGATCTAACCTCACCCCCAAAGTTTGCCACAAAATAGCTTTTTATTATTTTCCCACCACTCTAGTATCTCCACAGTCTTTGGAAAAAGAATGACATCATTCTTTTTAGTCTCCACAGTCTTTGGAAAAAGAATGACATCATTCTAGTTATAGCATTGTTTTTTAGTAGTGGTATTTCCATTTACAAAATTTAGTAATTCTCGATCGCTAAAAAGGTTGAATCCTAGAAAACACAGCATTCCTGTGCACGTTTAACGCTGGCAGCGAGCTGCACTTTCTTTTTCTAAACAGGAAATGGGTTAAAAGCCATGGAACCTGAGACCCCAAATCTTTACTTCACAGGAAGTCCGGGTTGGAAATGCCCTTGGAGACCATTTGGCCCAAGCTTCCAAACTCTGTTCTTCAGATTTGGAATTCAGGGGGTCGGGGGGACTGCTCTGAGCTGGAAGCTGGGGGGCCCAGGTGCCTCCACCATTTCAACCTGAGGGCCTCTTTTCTTATCCTGTCACATAAATTGGGCTTCCCTTTTTAAATTCCCACAAAGATTTCTGTGGCCATGAAGTTTGAAAACTTCTATCTGCAGAAGGGATGCAAGGACGGGGCTCCCCCTGAACCTCTGAGTGTGGAGCAGTTGGGACAAGACCACGTCGTGGGAGAAGGAAGGATCTGGGGTTCACCCGCATCCACACGCTGGTACCTCAGCATCGGAGTAGAGCCCCTTGGTGGTAGACATCAGCAGCTTCTGGTCCACACTGTCGAGTGCAAAGGTCAGGACTGCCCGGACCTCCTAGGGACGAAGGGTGGAAGGTAGGGGACCTGGACTCCTCCCTCACACGCACTCTCAGTTGATCCCAAAGAGGGAACTTGGCTTTCTGGCAGCGAGAAACTCCTGTGTTAAGTGTAGTTGTTTTGTCTGTGTACCCCGCCTTCCCAGCTTTCCTGGCTAACGTGACCTTTCCTCTCGTAGAACTGCTTCCCACACCCAATTTCACCCACGCGGTTCTGATGGGCACCGTACTCCTGCCCCGTAGAGGTAGCCACAGTGCAGGTGTCATTTACCTGCTGCCTCCTAGCCTCCTTCTGTTCTCTGTGTTGCTAGGGCCGGAAGCTGGCAAACTGTATTTCCCAGACTCCCCTACGAGTTAGGTTCCACCAGTCATCTGGTGGGAGACAGGAAGGAGGGACACCAGCACACTGGTCCTCACTCTGACAGGAGCAGGTGCTGTGGTGGCTGCCACAGTAGCCACGGAGGTGTGGTGGGTTCTGGACTGTAGCAGCCAGGGCAAAGCTGCAATGTCTGGGCATCCAGAACTGACTTTAGCGACGCCTCTGACGGCACAGAGGAGCCAACCAGACGCTTCTGATCTCTGAGCGTCCCCCTTCTTCCTTCTGGCTCCCTCAGATTTCCAACACTGTTATAACCAGTTCCCTGTATTAAATTCTCCCTGTTGGAAATCCCCTAAGTGGTTTTATGCTTTCCTAACTGAATTTGACCTGGCAAATAACTCGAGAGTAACCACGGCCCTAGGACACTGTGAACTTGAGACAATGAGGAATGCTTTCTCCTTTGCTTTTGAGCCTCTTACGATGGGAAGCACTGAGCTTAAGGGACCAGTCGCAGCCTCAGGAGAGATGCTGGCCAGAAAGAACGGAGCCGATTTGCAGAAGGGAGCAGGGACTGAGAAATGAAGCAATGGCGTTTGAGGCTCTGGCTCTAGCTAGATGTCTGTTCTGAGTTTGATTGACACCAAAGGTTACCAAATTCCCATTCTGCTCAAGGGGTCAGAGTTGGGTTTCTAGCACTTGCCCTGATGAACAGAGCAGAGCTTGCTGCTTGGGACTGAGGTGATACGAGCTAACAACTAGCATGGAGAAGCAAGACCTAGCGAACGAAGAGAGAGAGTGTCTGCCCGTGGCCTAGTACCACCCTGTTCTTCACACCTACCTTTTCTTGCTTGGCTGTGGGGTCCAGCACGAGGGTCCCATCAGAGTCCAGGGCACAGGTGACCCCACAGAAGAGGGCCCGCATGGGCACACCGGCGTCCACCAATGCCATGCAGGCAGCGTTCAGGCAACAGGCCAGGAGCTGGGTGCCGAAGGGAGTGGTTAAGAAGCGTTTCCACTGCAGGGCTGGCCGGCAGAGTGTCCACGCTGCCACTCTACGGTGCTCATGGCAGCATCACTAACTGATCACAGGAAGGCAGTATGGCAGAGTTCTCAGTGGTTCTGGGATCAACTAACCTTGGCCTACAGAAATGACTTTGCCACCTCTCAGCTGTGTGACCTTGAACAAGTGACTTACTCTCTCTGAGCCTCAATCAGGGCTCGTGATATTCTACAGGTATGTCCTGGCACATGCTAAGCACCTTCGGGGAAACCGAAGGCAGGCCTGGAGCCCGGGAATCTGGCAGGCAGTTGCTACACTGACAGATTGGCAAGGAGATGGAGGGAGGGGTCATTAACAGTGCCCCCAGGAAGCCCACAGTCCAGGGGATGGGAGGGGAGATGCTGTGGCCCGGTGGAGGGCAAGCACAGGGCTGATTCAGACAGCTGGCCGGACCTCAGTTTCCTTAAGTGTTTGCTCCCTGGGTCGAGCACAGCAGATAAGGGCCCAGCTTAGAACCCCCTCTGCCACTGAACCTCTGCTACCACCCCTGAGCTTCTCTTTCCCCACTCTGTGAAATGGGGTCACCACAGCCCTTCCCTCCTCCTGTCTACGAAGTGCCTGCAACAGTGAGGCCACTAGAAATGCCCGTTTCTGGTCCTCAGGCTCAACCTCTGGCCCGAACCACAGGGAGCTTTCAAGGCTGAGCTGCTGACCTAACTGCTCTGCTTGCTCAGTGTTTCCCCGGCGTTGAGCCTCAAGTCTAAGCTCAGGGTCGGAGTGGAGGTCAGGGGCACAGGCTTTGAAATCAGACAAGCCTGGACGTGAGTTTTGTGTCTGCTACCTTGAGCTGTGTGATCTTGGACGAGTGACTTCCCCTCTCTGGGGCTCAGTTTCTTCACCTGAAACATGGGAACTGAAGATTACTAGATATGTGAGTTGACCCTGCTGTGTGGATCAAATGAGTTTACATGTGTAAGGCACTAACACAGTGCTTGATACGTGGTAAGCACTCAAGCGATTTGCTATTCTTTTTCAACTAGTTGGTGCCTGTCAAACATCTGGAGGTCTTCTGACTAGTGGTGGGTGCATACATGGCCATCAGCAAGGGAGGCTATCAGAGAGATTCTGGAGGACTCCCTGGAGGAGGCAGCTTGTGGGGAAAGGATACGGAGCCAGCATCACTGATGACCTGCAGCACGACGGTGATGGAGGTACGGGGGTGCAGTGCTCCCAGCACCACTGCTTCACATGTGTTCCTAATCAGCCGCTCCCGGCTCTTCTCCGCTACCCCTGGGGAAAGCAGGGGTGGGATAGGGTTAGGCTCTTCCCCTCTTCCAGATGCCCCACCCAAGCTTCTGGAAAGGGCCTGCATGCAGCCTCAGCCCAGGTTGGCTGCCATCCACCCTACCCTGCCACCTCCAGCATCCAGCAAGGGAGCCTCCTAGGGTAGGAAAACCCCAGAGTTCCCATGTCCCGTGCTGCTGCCCAGGCCCATCTCAGTGGGCCCAGCCCCCGAGAGTGAGGCAGATGGGGTAAAAGGATGGAAAGAAGAGGGAGAAGGGAGGACAAAGACATACAGGCAAAAGGAGATTGGAGGCAAAGAGAAATGTCACAGAAACACGGGCACAGAGACTCAGAGGCAGAGCTGGAGAAAGAGATAGCAATAGCTGAGGGGAAATGAGAGGGGACAGTAGAGACTGGACGGCAGTGAGGGAGGAGCTGGGTGAGAGGTCCCAGGGGACTGAACATCTGGAGACCCGGCCGGGCCCAGTTACCAGGCAGCCCGATCTTCGGCCTCAGGATCACTTCCAGCGTGGCCTTGTTGAAGATCTCTTTGCTGACCTTCACCTCTGCTGGCCCGTACACGCCCGCCAGGATGGAGGTATCTCCTGGGGAGATAGTATGGTGACCTCACCCACATCTGCCCTGCCTCCGGGGCCCAGAGGGACTGTCTGTGGTCCACCCGAGCACAGAGACCCTCTCCTCTCACCTTCTTGGCAACATGGCTAAAACAATTCCCTGGAGCGCTTCTCTCCTCTCTGGACCCACATCCATCTTCAACTCCTGCCCCATTTATCTGACCTTCTGACAGCTAAGCTCCCGAAGGGGTGTCCCCACTCACTGCTTCCTTTTCCTCTTCTCCTTGACCCCACCACCCCACTGGAGCGGCTCTTGACAGTGTCACCAACCCACAGGGCCTTTCCATCCTCATGTGATACAACCTCTCAGTAGGGCTGACGCAGCTGCTCGGCCCTTACATCTCAAACACATTCTCTGGGATCCAGGTCACGGCCCTCTCGGTTTTCCTCCTGCCTTACTGGCTGCTCCTTCTCATCGTCTTTTGCTAAAACTCCTCACAGGTGAGAAGACCCAGGGCTTAGTCCTGGGACCTCTTCTCTTTCCCACCTACACTCCAATTTTCTTGGTGAATTCATTTAAACCAGAGCTCAAAATACCATCTAGAGCCAGAGGATTTCAAATTATATGTCCAGATTGGGTCTCTCTTCTGAATTCCAGACCTGTATGTCCAACTGCCCAGTCCAGGTTGCCACTGTGATATCTACTGGGCATCACAAACTTCATGTTCCAAACTGAACTCATCTTTCCTTAGCACAGCTGATCTGGGCAAAAACCTTAGCATTATCCCTTTCATACTCCAAAACCAAACCATCTGCGAGTTTTGTTGGCTTTACTGTCAACATACATCCAGGATTTCACCACCTCCATTGCTTCCACTCTGGTCTGAGTCCTCATCATCTCCCTTTCTCCCACACTCTCTACATGCAACACTGAAGCCAGAGAGAGTCTGTTAAAATATATTCAGATCATGTCATTTTTTTGAGCAAAACTTCCAGTGGCTCACATCTTATTCACTAGGCCTTTGGTCTCCTGACTTCCTCAAAAATACCAGGCAAGTTCTTGCCTCAGGGCCCTTGCATCTGCTGTTCCTCATGCTCTCCTGATATTTTCGGAGTTTGCTACTTTACCTTTAGGTCTTTATTCAAATGTTATCATCTCATTGAGGCTTTTTCTGATCATCCTATTTAATACTTCAACCCTCTCTGGCATAACCTATTTAGAAAACAGTTACGGTGTATGGAGCAGAGTGCCCACCTCTCCCAATACTGACCCTCCCCTTCCCTACTATATTTTTCTATAGCATTTTACTTGGTTATCTTGTTTACTGTCTTCTTGACTAGAGTGTAAACTCCATTAGATCACAGATTTAAAAAATTTTTTTTTTGATGTTTTCTCAGTGCCTAGAACAGTACTTAGCACAAACACATGTGTTCAATGAATGGAAACAGGTTTGTAACTGGGTAAAAGGTAGTGCCCTAGGGAGGGGACTGAGCATCTATGGGGGTGACCCTTAGGCTTATCTCTAGAGGAATATTGACCTGGGTCAGGGAGTTTGAAAGGTATTTAGCTAGAGAAAGGAGATATTTATCCAATTGATGAGACCTACCCCAATCTTAGGGGTATTTGCTCATATGGAGATGCGTATCCCAGTCATAAGGGATATTTACCCAATTGGTGGGGGTGGAGAAAATCTTTCTCATCCCACGGTGGGGACATCACCCTCAATCTGAGAAGTATTTACTTGGGTGAAAGATCTGCCGTGGCAGGGAGTAACTAAGCCGGTAATGGAGAGCTGCCGGTCTGCGGGGCATTTATGCAAATAGGCAGGTATGCCTCAGCTTGGGATGTGTGGACCCAGGATGTGTGTGTGAGTGAGACAGAAGCGGAATCTAATCAAAGGGGGCATTTACCTCCAGTTAAGGTTTTACGAGGGTGGAGATATCTTCTCCCTTCTAGTCGGTAGAGAGAGATATACGTATCCTAGCGTATCTAGTGGTATCCACCTGGGCAAGTTGTGTACCAGTTCAGGAGTGACATTTACCTGCTAGTATCGGACGAGTTGGGCACTTTTTGCACGGTACACCATACCCGCCCCCTAAAACAGATACGAACTGGGTGAACGTGGCCCTCAGTATTACCTGGGTTAAGCTCTTACCTTGCAAGAAAGAGGCAGAGCCATCCGGCCGAGACAGCAGGTTCTGTTCGCAGGCAAAGTGCCGGAGGCTGCAGACGGGGCCGCGAGGGCCGGACTCTGTTCCAACCTCAGTGCGGATCTTGGCGTCAGTCTGCATTGCCTTCTCAATCCGCCGACACCTCGCGTGCAGTCGCTTCCGCACAGGAGCGCGCACTTGCGTGCACGCTGCGTACCCAGTGCGCACGCGCCGGTCCAAGGGGCGCTAGGATCCGGGCCAGCACGAGGGCTCGCGTTTACTAACAACCTGGCCCCGCCCACTCCCGCCTTGAAATTCCAAAAAGTCATTGGTCAATAGAGGAGAGGGGCGTGGCTTGGCATGGCTCGTTTTCACCCGAGGCCCCCGGGCCTTAAACTCCTGAGGCTCTGGGCAGGTTGCTCTCTTCTTTGCCTGTTACAGAAACTAGTGCGGTGAGGCGATCAGAGTAATTTTTGGGAAGCTAGATTGTTTGTATTCACCCATATATATGTCCTAGAGACTTCAGAACTAGTAGCAGTGGTTTCTTGGCAGGATGGTGTTGGCATTTGAGTCAGGCTCATGAAGGGGCAGCCCCCAGCCTCGCCGAGGATAGGGGCGAATCACCGAGAGTTGTTAGCCAAGATGGCGGTGGCGGTTGCGGCGGCGCGGTTTGGGGGGCCAAGTAGAGGCTTGGGCCAGGCTGGCCTCCTGCTCCTGCGGCGGCTTGGAGATCGGAGGCTGCCTAGATCTGTGAGTACCTGGGGGGCACTGGAGAGCTTTCTCCAAGGGGGAATAGGGATGTCAACGCTGTCTTCAGAGTGTGGGGTCCCCACAGGGAGCGAAGGGAGGGCTGTCACGGAAGGGACAAGGGTTGGGAGAACCACTTGAAGAGGACATTCAAAGGGAGAACTTCCACTTCCTTAGAGGGGAAAAGCGAGGCAGCTCCTTTGGGGGTCCTGAGAGAAGGAGACAAATTGGGAAGTGGGAGGGGTTCCTCATTAGTTGCCACCCATCCCCAGGGGAGGGAAGGCCATTTGGAGGACCTGGAAAGGAGACGAGACCTTTGCCTTCAGGGGTTGGAGAGTGAAACTGCCTTAGTAAGGGGAAGATTTTCTTTTCGGTAAAGACCCACCCATCCCCAAAGAGGAGAAAATAGATCAGGTCCCACGTCACAGGCTTTTGTAGTGCCCTGTAATTTTTTTGCTCCTTTGCTACGGTTCTAATTTTAAAATGAAGCGCATAAATAACTAGTTCGATCTTGTGTCCCTTGATCAAATACCAGGACAGAGACTTTGCCTGTTTTGGTCACTACAGAGGAGATGGTCAGTAAATATTTGTTGAGTTAATGAGAGGAGAAGAGGAGGGAGAGAAGTCCACAGGGCACTTTGGCCACATTTCTTAGAAACAAAATCTAATTGGAAGAAGCCTCTGTGGGCTTCAGTAGAGCTATGAACTAAAATTTCACAAGAGAGTGGTTGTTTTGAAGCCAGACCACTTGGGTTTATATCCCTAATCTGTCACTTTTCACCTCTCTGGACCTAATTTCTCCCTCTAAAATTCTATTTAAAAAATTTTTTTTATTTTAGGCGAGGCTACCCTTGGTTGACCTCACAGATTGTAAGGACCTTGTCAGCTTACAATCTTTTATTTTTTATTTTATACACCTACAGTACCTGGTCTTCCTAGGTGGTCTCCCATCCAAGTACTAACCGGGCCCGACCCTGCTTAGCTTCCGAGATCAGACGGGACCGGGCTTGTTTAGGGTGGCATGGCCGTAGACTCTCCCTCTCAAATTCTAACAGTGGCATCTCGTAGGGTTGTGAAAATTAAATATGAAGAATGCTAAGAGCTGGACTTGATGTTATGTTAAGGGCAATAGGAATGTTGGCCACTTTTGAAACTGAGGATAGAGGAAAGGGGGTGACCTTAGGAGGGCCTGTATTGGTTAGGGCCCTGGAGAGAAATCTGTCAAGATCTTGTGGTGTCACCCTTGGATCCGGATCAGAGTTCTGTGTTGCCCCAAGGGTAGGGGGGAGGGAGATGACTAACACGGTGCAGCAGACGTGTAGTTAGCATTTTCCTTCAGTTCTTCCTCAGATTACGGCAGTGAACAATCACAGATCATTGAGATTTAATAGTTTTATTAAAAATATATTTTAGAAAGACAAAGAATGCCCTAAGGAGGTACATGGTCCCAGCGATGGGAGCTGCAACAGAGCACTGTAATAACAACCACAACAAGAGGGCACAAAGGGCCCAGAAGTGCGAATGTCTGTCTTATATTTGGGCCATGATGGGGTGATTCCAAAGGTGATTGGCAAGTGAGGGCATTTTGATTGACACTTGGCTGCTATATAACTCTGCTTAGTGCGCATGTACCTACCTAGAATTCTACTGATGCAGGACAGGGCAAATTTCTCCAAGTGGAGGGGAGACCAAGCCCTGCACCGAGAGAAGAGCATCCTTTGGTGGAGAGTGAAGAAAGAAGCACACACGCCAAAGTTAGAGTCAAGAAGAAAGTTTATTAGGAAAAGGGTAACACTCCGCAGAGAGTGTGGTCTCCACAGGTAGAGTGAGAGGGACCAAGAGAAGCTTGGAAAGATAGTGAGTGGAGGGCGAGTAGTGTTCAGGGAATTTGGTTTATATATCATTCTTTAGTTCCTATGAGTTATTTAAGACTTTGTCAGCCTATTTTCTTTGACATGGACTTAGAGTGAGGAAAGGGAAGGGTATGTAGCATGAAAAGGTAAGAATATGTAGACTGAAAGGCCCACTGGCAGTTCCCAGCCTTTAATCCATAGGTTCCCATGGTTTTAGCCTAGGAAATGACTCTTGGTTCCTGTTTCCCCTTCACAGGTGTGGAGAATGGGGCTGTTAGCAGTCCCAGCGAAACCTCCCTTTGTTCAGAAGGTGTCCTGCTGGCCTGGCTGCAGGGTCAAATCAGCATATTGCAGTCTCTCAATGTGGCTTGATTAACATTTTAATTCTCTTGCCTCTTCCCTGCATTACTATTACTCTTAGGGTCTTCTTTGAGCAGTCTCTAGATTGGGCCCCTATTCCTTTGTTCCCCCTGTCACTCCTGTGTGACTAGCTACCTAACAGTGGGCTTGGGTCTGACCCTCTGACCCTCCAATCCAGTAGGAAGGGAAACTAGAAGCTGTGGGAAGAAGCTATAGATAAGGGGAGAAACAGAAGGAGGGTGAAGAGGATGGACAAGGAATGAGGGGAGGGGTCCTAGGAAGGGAGTTACCTATTTTTGGAAGGTTTACTGCAGCAGGATGGGGGGACGGGCAGCCTCCTGCCTTTGAGTTGGTTTTACCCGCAACCCCCCCCCTCCCCCCGCTTTTTTGAGCTATAGATCCTCCAGAGCTGATCTCTGCCCCAGGAGCCTATTGGCTTGGCCAGTGGGAGAGGTGGGCAGGATTGGGGCAAGAGTAGGGGAAGGTCCTTTGCAACTCATTAAATCTTCATCCTTCTTGGCTCAGTCACACTGCTGTTCTTCCCTCCTCCGTTTCATTTTTCGGGGAGGTGTGGGAAAAGGAGGAGGTCTTTCAGAGTCCCTACTTTTTATTTATACATATGTATTGAAATTTCTTTATTTTTGAAGTCTTTTATTTCTCCCACCTGTTCTTTCTAAGATTAAAAACGATGCTTTTGTTTTTCGAGTGGAGGGAAGGAATGGTAGCATTTAGTCAAAAGATTTTAGGTGGGGGCTGTCAATAGAACTTTATGCAATGATGGAAGTTTTCTATACCTTCACTATCCAGTACAGTAGCCCTAACCACATGTGGCTTTTGAGCACTTGACATGTGACTAGTGTCACTGAGAGACTGAAGTTTCCACTTTATAGACAGTTGCCAACTTATGATGGTTCAACTTACGATTTCCAACTTTACGATGGCGTAGAAATGATACATACTCAGTAGAAACCCTACTTCGTATTTTGAATTTTGATCTTTTCCCAGGCTAGCGATATGCAGTACATGACTCTCCCCTGATGCTGGGCAGCAGCAGTGGGCTACAGCTCCCAGTCAGCCACATGATCACAAGGGCAAACTCTACAGTGTACTGTACAGTGTACTGTGTTGCCAGTGTTTATGTCCTGCTTCTGATGAGAGGATAAAGAGGAAGGCAGTGACTCTTGAGATGCAACTCAAGATACTTGCCCAGCCTTGCCCAGCCATAGGCTAAATAAATGTAGGTTAATGTAGGTGATAGGTGTTTGGAGCACCTTTCAGGTAGGTGAGGCTAAGCTCTGATGTTGGGTAGGTTAGGTGTATTAAATGCATTTTTGATTATGGTATTTTCAACTTATGGGTTTATCGGGACTTAACCCTACTGTAAGTCAAGTTGCAGCTGTATTTAATTTTAACGAATTTAAATTTAAATAACCATGAATGGTTTCTGGTTGCCCTGTGAGACTGCGGTTTTAACTGAGCAAGGTGGAGCCAGGAGCTGGTGCCTTGTGGGAAGATGGGGAGGCTGTATTGTGCTGCTGACTGGGTGGTTGGGGCAGGCTGGGTTGGGAGAAGGCTGGGGCTGCCTGGCTTCTCGCTGCCTGCTTGACCCTCCTCTCGCCATCCAGGCAGTTGCTTGGCCTTGCCTCCCTTCCCCCTCCTCCAGTTGCTAGCAGATGTGTCTTTGCTCAGGAAGAGGACGGGGAAGACTCAATTGTCAAGCTGTCACCGCTGGGGTGAGGTGAAATCCAGCGTTGCCCCAGCGGCGTGGGGGAGGAGGACGGTGGTGGCGTTGTGTGTTGTCCTTCGGTTCTTCCCTGCTGATGCAGTAAAGAATTACAGGTCAGTGAGATTTAGAAAAAGTAAGATTTATTGAAAGTACGTTTAAGTTCTGAGCTAAGGAAGGCCGAGCCCTGTGGAGTTAAGGAGGTGAAGAGAAGATAGTAGCACGCCCCAAAGGGAAGGGTGGGTTTCCAGCCTGGAGAGCTGACACAACCCAGAAATGGAAAGATCTGTTTATATTCAGGCAGTGATGGGCGATTCCTATGTGAGGTCACCTCGTCTGACACCTGGCTGCTCTGTAACTTTGCCTAGTGTGCCTATGCTTACCCAGAATTCAGTCTGTTATAATTAGATTTGTGAACTTCCAGGCATAGTCATGGTATTATAATGATGGTATCATGAGGCAGAAGTTATGAGCAGTACTTTCTGCACATGCGTTTGTAGCTGGTTTAGGCCAGCTAAGACTGTGACCCTCCTGTCTTGTCTCTGGGGATGCAGGAGGGATTCTCTAACTACCAATAAGGTGCTCTTAGGGCGGTCTCTAGGCTGGGCTCCTATTCCTCTGTTCCCCTGTCGCTCATGTCTGACTAGCTACTTAGCAGAGGAGTCCTGAGTTGGTTTCTCAGCTGCCACCCCAACGAGCAAGTGGGACCTCGGCCAAGTCACTTCACTTCTCTGAGCCTAGCAAGTGGGTGACTACAGTCCCTGCCCTGTTGGAAGTCAGGGAGCACCTGGAGCTCTGCCTTTGTGATTTAGCAGTAATGTTATTTCTCCAACCCATCCGATCAGGCGGCTTGTCTGGAGGCAGTGTCACCACATGGTTGGTGCCTAGTGCGTATTGGATGAATGGAGATGGTTTTTACTGATCTCCTAATTATACGGGTCCATCTCTATCTTGGCCATGTCCTCTTTTTTCATATCACGAAGCACTTTTATAATTTACAGTGCCAACTCATACCCATTATTATATTTGATATAGCCACAATGCAAGGTATATACTGGTCGTTTTCTACTATTACAGATGAGGAAATTGAGGCTCAGAGAGGTAAGGTCTGAATTTGGAGCTCTGGGCTCCAAAGCTTAGTTTTTTTCATATTGCCAGGAGGAGAGCGATAGGGCTCTGGTTTGGGTCTTGTGACATCCTGCTTAATCCAGTCTTGGCGTGTATCCCTAGCCTCTACCCCGGCTGGCTGGTGGGAAGCTGAGTAGGAGGGCTGGCCTCAGCCCCACTGGCCAGTTTTCCCTCCCTTGGATGAGCCTCTCCTACCCACAGGCCTTTGTAGGGATACATACGGTCCTTCAGATGTCTGCGGACAGGCCATTTCCTCAGAGAAGCTTCCACAATCCCAACAGCAGTCTCTCTGTAAAACCAGGACCATAGGAGTCGCCCCTCAGAGAGATGTGGTGACGAAGGAAGCACTCTCTACATATACCATGTGCTCAGTAAGGGCTCGAGAAACGGTTGCTGTTTTTCTCCAGGGACAGTAAATCCGGGGTGGCCATGATTGCTGCTGGGCTCCACCCCTCCAGTGCCCGGGGGAACATAGTGATGCCCAAGCCCCTGGTCCCTGAGGCCAGAGAAAGCCTGATGAATCACATTTACCCGGCCTCCCCGGCCAGATCTCCTGGGAGGTGAGGCTGCTGATATTTCTGAGCTGGAAGCAAAGCCAGGACTGGGCAATCCCGGCTGTTTGAGGGCAGAGTGCCTCAGACCCCTGGAGGGAGCGGGTTTGGATGGCCTTAGCTGTCGTAGATCCAGAGGACTCGGTTAACTGGCACCATCCGCAAAACTTTCCATGGCTGGACGCCCCCCTTTCTCTCCAGCCTATCCAGGTAGTAGTGGTCAGGCTGCCTGGCTTCATATGCTGACACTACCACTTGATCTCTGAGGCCCTCAACGAGTCACTTAACCCCTCTGAGCTTCAGAGCCACCTCTTTTCTGGAGGTGTGATAATAGTGCTGGCCTCACCTGGCTGCTGTGCAGATTCAGTGACACACAGGCAGAAAGAGTGCATTGTGTGGTGCCCAGGCACACGGTTAGCTATTGTCATTAACGTGCTGCAGCCATGAGTGTCGTTCCCCCAGCCTTTGCCTGGCTCACCGCTGCTCGTCCCGTGGGCCTCGGCTTCACTCCCCTTCTCCAGGAAGCTTTTCTTCCTGCTCCATCTGATGCTGGTGGTGAAAAGTTCCTCTTAGAGCTATGGCAGGTGCTTTATACCCACCTCACTACGAGCCTGTGAAGTAGCAATTTTTATTTTTTCCACAAGGGGACGCAGGCTCCAACTGTATCCTGCCCAAAGTGACATAGCTGGAAAGGGACAGAGCCAAGGTTCAAACAGGCAGTTGAGAGTCTCACCTGCCCTGCAGTTAACCACTAAACTGTCCTTCCTCCTCTGAGATCACCCCTCCTGATTATAACGTGTGTTTGTCATCCACCCCTCCCCCTCGCCTCCAGCCCTCACTGAGTTCAGGACCCAGTTTGGAATAATTATTCAGTATCTACCTGTTTGACAATTGTCAAAGACACTAGTCAGGAACTCGTATTTATTGTGTTCGTTTTGTGCCAGGCGCTAGGCTGAGCATGCCACACACATCGACTTGTTAATCTGCGTGCCCACCTGTGAGATGGGTGCTCATGCCATCTTGTTTACACGTGAGGAGACTGAGGCTCGGAGCTTTAGTTACACAGCCGGGAGTGGTGGTCTGCTCGGAGTCCATGCCCTTAACCTTGATGCCATAGGCAGTGGCTCTATGAGGGGCCACCCCAGTATCGACCTGCTGAGTGGACTAGACCATCCAGGGCAGGCCGGCCTGTTTCCTGTGTGGTGGGAGAAGATGTTGTTTCAAGGTTTTGTAAATCTCCGAATGTAGCCTGTGCCATTATAAGTCACTAGCCTCCAGGACAAAGCTGCCCCCTCACCAAAAACAGAAGAAAAAGTGAGTGGAGTCACATCCTTTCTCTGCAGGCCTTTTACCACTCAGCTCAGTGAAGCGTTTCCTTGGGGTCAGGCACTGCTGAGTCCTTTGCAGAGCGGACTGAATCAGCACAGTGAGCCTGGGGCGGCCCAGGATGGAAGCGGCACAGCCAAGGCTGAACTCCAGCGTGTGGGGTATGCGCCCTGGTGGTAGCCCTCCAGCCTCTGGAGGCGGACAGAGCCCTGTCCTGACACCGGAGCTTGTTCTGAGCCCTGAGGCCCTGTCCTCCTGACCCCTGCCGGCCCCTGGCCTTCCTGCTTAGAGCCGCTCCCGGGACCACAGTGCTTGTTCCATCTGCGTTTCCCCTGTGCCTCAGTGTCTCTGCTGGGGCCACAGCCTGGCATTATAATCCAGTTTGAGGTACAGCCAGTCCTCCCCAGCTCCTTTCCCACCTTCCCCCTGAGGTGCCAGTCATTTCCTAACCTTCCTCGATTTTGTTTTTTCCCTTCTGCCAATTTTTGAGCACATAGTATGTTTCACACCCATACTGAATCCTTTGTGTGCCTTATGTTAGGGACTTCTCACAATAGCCCTTTGCAGCCTTTGTACAGATGAGAAAATTCAAAGAGACAAGGTGTTTTGCAGAGGGCCACACAGAGGGCTGAGACACTGGGTCCCAGGTCAATGGGACTCCAAAGCCAGTGGGTGAAACCGCTCGTTCATCCTTTTGTTCAATAATCACCTGTTGGGTGCCCGCTCTAACCACCTGGACCCCTGTCTTCCTGGAGCTGGTGATGTGTGCGGTGACAGACACGACACTAAAGGATCCTCTAGGTGGTCGGAAGCTTCCGGCTGTGTTAGCACTCAGAGTCGGAAGCATAGTCTACGTTTTGGCCGCTTCCCTTGCACGCAGAGGGGAAGTCTGCTGCGATGTGGTCAGGCCTGGACCTGCCTTGCTGTTGAGAGTGTGATTTCCTTTATTTCCTCACCACCACGCTCACAAATAAGCATGCAGATGTTCCTGTTCCCCCTGGAACCTTGGACAGCTTCTCCACTGCAGTTAAAGGAGCGGGGAGGTGGACACACTTCAGCACCCATGTGTGAGATCCACCTCGTGGCAAACTCACTCCTCTTTTAGTTCCTGCCGGAAGCGAGGCCACCATTTCTGAGCCAAGAGGAACCTGGCGACCGGTGGGAAGTAAAGATGTGGTTGTGTGGAAACCGGGCTAGCGATGGGTTAGAAGCGTGGGTTCTGGGCTCCGAATGTCCGCCCTGCCCAGGTTTGAAGCCTTGTCCTGACTGACTTATTTAAATTTTTAGCTCCACGGCCTGGTGCAGGTTTTCTCATCAAGTCAAGTGCAGTGGTCAGATTGCGCATGCAGAGCTCAGCCTGGCACCCAGCAAGTGTGTGATCAAGGTTGCTGCTGGCTCAGAAGTCGAATTGGTTCACATCCTGTCACATGTGTGGGCTTCTCATGGGCTTTCCCAGCCAGGCTCTGATCCGAGCAGGTGTGATGTTCCCCACAGGACTCCTCCAGCCACTCTGAGCTCCTGTCAGGTCGCATAAGGGACGTGTCACTCCTCAACTCTTTGCCTTTTGCATATTTAGCTCCCCCGGCCTCGATTGTTCTTTCCCTGACTCCTACATGTCCTTCCTCAGAGAAGCCTGAGCCTCTTTCCGCTCTGCAGTACGGAGCCCTATGGCTTCTCCCAGGAGACTATAATTCACTCTTATCAGTACTTGCTGAGTTCCTGTCTTCCATGCCAGGCAGCGGAGACAGATGTCTAGTGTCGCTTAGGCCCTCAGAACCCAGCATAGAGCCTGGAATGAAGCAGGTGCTCAAATATTTGTTGAGTGAGTCAGGCCGGACTTGTGGAGGGGATTAGGATTGGCATGGAGAGGGCACTGGAGTGCACGGAGCACTTTACCAGGTGATGGAGGAACAGGTGGTAGAGAGATGAGAGCAGAGATACGGTGGTAGAAATGATAATTTTTTTTGAGCATATACTGTATGACAAGTATTTCTGCTAACATTCATACGCATGATCTCGTTTAAGCCTTGCAACATTTCCACGAGGTGTTCTCCATTTTATAGGTGAGAAAGGAGAGACTTGAAGGGAAGTCACTTTCTCGTGGTCACCCAGCAAGGGATTTGAACCCAGGCTGGCTGACTTTTAAAGAGCTTACAGGCTTAAGCTCTATTCTGGGTGGCCTCCCTGGGGAGCACAGGGGTCAGTAAAGAGCCCAGCCGACTGACTCGAGGGCACTGTGCAGAAGTGTCTGTGCCCGTGATAGCGGTGGAAAATTGAGAGAGGGGGTTTCTGTGGCCAGGCTGGGAAGGTCCTGAGTGCCAGAGCAAAGAGTTTGGACCTTGGACGATAATAAAAGCTGCCAGTTCTTAATCTGCCTGCCACTCTGTTGAATCATTTAATCTTTACAACAACCCTGTGGCATAGATGTTCTTTTCACCCATTTTGCAGATGAGGAACTGAGATACGAAGTTTTAGTAACTCACCCAAGGTTACCCAACGGGAAAGTGGTGCAACTGGGATTGACACCCTGTGTGTCAGGCCCCAGAGTTCACCAAGACCATGGTGACTTAACCACTAGGCCACACTGCCTGTCACCATGGCTCTGAGCCAGTGGAACTGTGGTGCCACTCCTGACTCAGGTGTCCCCTACCTTCTCCCCCCAGCAGCCTCGGAGGTTACAGCAGCAGCACTTCTCATCCCTGGATGACAAGCCCCAGTTCCCAGGGGCCTCGGCGGAGTTCATAGACAAGCTGGAGTTCATCCAGCCCAATGTCATCTCAGGGATCCCCATCTACCGGGTCATGGACCGGCAGGGCCAGATCATCAACCCCAGCGAAGACCCCCATGTGAGAGGCCGTCTCCCCCACCCCCTGCCTCCCATGCCCAGGCCCCCTGTCCATCTCCTCTCTGGTCACGGCAGCCCCGCGTCCCTCTGTGCCTCCATCTGCAGCTGCCACAGGAGAAGGTGCTCAAGTTCTACAAGAGCATGACGCTGCTCAACACCATGGACCGCATCCTGTACGAGTCCCAGCGGCAGGTGCGTGGGGGCGGGCTGCGGAGGGCCCGGGGCCGTCTGGGCTCCCCCGGCCTGTGTTCAAGCCAAAGGACAGCTCTCAAGGAGGAGAGTGGAGATTTTTTTGTCTTGGGGTCCTTAAAGTTCTTGGGGTTCTCTTGGGGCTCTGGAGGAAGAGTGTGGGCAGGGCCCAGCCCAAGGGCAAAAGGATGGACCGAGATCACTAAAACACCTACTGTGTACCGGGCTGGGGGCTTAGCTGTGCTGGGACAGGGCAGGCTCGAGACCTGAGAGCCTTTCTCGGGAGCTCACAGTGTTGAGAACGCGACCCGGTGCTTCTTGGAGTGCCTGTGTCAAACGTGCGGCGACCCTCAGCTGTGTTGGTATCAGCGGCCGGAGCCCCGGTCAAAGCAGCGGCAACAGAGGGGACTTGCTGACTCCATAACTGTGAGCCCAGAGGGCCTTGTTTTCAGGCACAGCTGGGTCCAGGTGCCTCAGAAAATGTCACCAGACCTGTTTCCCTGGGTGTCTTTTCCCCTCTCCTTTGCCTTGTCTTCATTCTCAAGCAGTGGGGTCTCTGGAAGCTCCAGGCCCATGGAGAGGTGTCAGAGAAAGCGTTCAGGGTGTGATCGTAGTCCTCATTCTGCCACTTTCTGGCTTTGCGGCCCTGGGGAAGCCGCTTCATCGCTCAGTGCTTCGGTTTTCTTGTCTGTCCCTACTTCGTGGGGTTGCTGTGAGGATTGATGGTGGCACATATAATGGCCTTAGGAACAGGGAAACTGGCACTGAGTCAGCACATGGTTAATATTAGCTATTATTTGTTATGACCCTGCCAGCCTCACAATTATTAACCGTTCTACTTAGTGGTGGAAATAGTGTCGGGTCCCTAATGTCCCCACAGAAGGCCCAGGGCTGATGCTCACTGGCCAGGCTTTGGTCACAGACCCCACCCTGCACTGGGGCCATGAGACCATCCCCAAGGAACCAAGGGGTTAGGGGAGTTAAGTCTGTCCTTCCCAGGCTGCATAGACTGAGAAAGGGCATGGAGGATCCTGTTGGAAAAGGGGGAAGGATGTTGGGCAGGCCGGCCCTCAGATGGCACCACCCCTGTGGGTCAGGGATGGGCTTGGAAATCTGCATTTGCATCAAGCCCCCCGGGTGACCCCACCGTGGACTAAAGCGTAAGACCCAGACTCTCTCACTAAGACACCCCATATGGGCTCTCCGAGTTAGGGCAATATCTCCACCCTGCCCAGGAACTTCCCTTGGCTCCCCTTGTCCACAAGATTGTGTCTGGCCCTTCCTCTCTGTGTCTCCCATTCCAATGTGGCCTTGGCAGTGTGCTCCCCTCTCCACAGCCTCAGCTCCAGGCCATGCCACCCCTCCCACTTCATCTCACATGCCTGGGCTCCTTCCTGTCCCTGCGTTGGCTGCACAGATGGGCTTTGGAATCCAACGGACGTTGGGTCCGGTCACAGCTGTGACTTTGGGCAGGCAATTTTTCTTGTCTCTGTCTCATTTTCTTAAGAATGTTCAAAAACGGGATACCAAGAGAACCCACCCTCTAGGATGGGGTAGGAATTGTGTGAGACCCGGCATGTAAAGCCTTTTGCCCCCTGGTCAGCACAGAGGAAACCCTCTGTGAGATCAACTCATCCATCAAGGTTCATCTGTTAGCTGGGATTCTGTTCAGCTGCAGATAACATCTCCTCCAAAAAAATCTTGACAAAATTGAAAGTAGTATCTTCACCAGATTAATAGTTTTTTCTCTTACATAAAAGAAATCTGGAAAGAAGTGGTCTGCGGCTGGTGTGGTGTCTCCACAATGTCATTGGATACCCAGTGTTGGCTTCTAGCCTCAAGAGCCTCTCGTGAACCTGATGGCTGCTGGAGCTCCCTCCATCACATCTCATTCTAGGCAGGAAGTAGAAGGAAAGTGAAAGGGTAGACACGGCACATTCCAGTTATCCCCACACCCACCTTTATAGAACTTTCCACACAGCCGCACACATTTCACTGGTCACTCCTAGCTACAAGGGAGACTGCAAAATGTAGTTTAGTCTGGGCAGTTGGTGTCTCTGGTGGAATGAGATCTCTGTTAAAGAAGAGGAAGAGGGATAGGATACTGGGTGGCAGCCAGTGACCTCTGCCAGTAGCCTGTTTCCTCAGGGTGCCCTTCTCAGGCTCCTCCCCACGCCAGTCTCAGCCCTGCCAGGCCCTCAGCAGTAGGCATCTGCCCACTCACTTGGCTCTGAGAAGTCAATTAACTTTTAATTGGCTCCCCACTTAGAAGAAAGCATTATTCATCTGGTTTCCCACCATGACAGAAAGCCTGGCCTGCAGAACACCTGAGGACAGCCAAGGGCATCCTGCAGGTGCCAGCTGGGGCTGTCTGTCTCTCACTTTACGTGCAGTCTCATTTCTGTCTCTATGCCACGGGCTCCCCAGATCTCTAACCAGACTTTGCCTCTTAGCCCCAGATCTGCTTGGCTTCTCGCCCTGACCAAATTGAGCCTGTCCAAACGTGGCCTCTGTATCTTCTTCCTAGATCTGCTCTTCTTCCTCCCCTAGGCTGCGTCTCAGTGACGTGTGCCACCATCACCCATTTGCCCAAACTGGAGACCTTCATTTCATGCCTGTCTCCTCTGTCCCTGCTGTCACTTTCCTCTCATTCACTCTGTTCCTAAGTGTTTAGTGAGAAATCCATCTTGCTGCTCAGCGGCACCATCAGGAACCCAGACTTCCTATCTTTCTGCTTCACTGTCCTGGGCAAGTTGGCTTTCCTCCTGTGCCGTTGCCTCACGTTCAAGCATGATGGCTGCCACAGGTCCAGGCTTCATGGCTACGTGCAAGGCAGGAAGAGAGCCAGGAGAATGCCTGGCACCAGCTGCAGTGGGCTTTTTTCTTTTTTAAGTTAAGAAAGCAAAAACAGACTTCCACTTAAGTGTCTGGCTAGAGCTGTGTGCCCTGGCCACCTCTGGCTGCAAGGGAGGCTGTCACCTAACATTTGGCTTTTCCAGGCCCTGAGGCTTGGCACCGGTGTAGCAAACAAGGAGAGTTTGCTGCTTCCTGGCACCACTGACTGCTTCTTAGGACTGTCAGCCATCCATCCTCTCTTTGCCTCCCACCACTAGGCCAGGCCATTGCCCCTCTCGCCTGGTTCGCTGCACTCAGCCGTCTCCATCCATTTCCCACACGGCAGGCTGAGAGACTTTCTAAACATCGCTCCCCCCAAGGAGACCCATCAGCAGGTTACCACGGTTCCCCGGGGAAAGCCCAAGTGCCTCGTTCCCTGCGCTACCTCGGTTCTGCCTCCCTCTCCCGCTCCGCTCCCCCCACCCCTCCCACTTCCCGTCCCAGCCCTTCTAGCCTCATGGCCTTCATTGTTCTCTTGGCCTGGAAAGCGCCACCCACCCACACCTTTTCTTAGCTTAGGCATTTCTCCTGGCACCCCTCCATGGTGGGGCGGGTTCCTCCTCATGGCTCTGGTCACACAGCCCCCTCCCTCTCGCCCTCACCAGTCTGGCAGTTCCTCCATCATGGCAGTAGCCCCAGAGCTGGCCTTCAGGATGCATTTGTTGATCGATGGGGCAATTAGAAGTTGGTCAGGACTTGGACGTTCGCTGTCATGGTGCAGCGTCACTGAGCCTGGGCCTCCGGGTCCCCCTCCATCCCCAGGGCCGGATCTCCTTCTACATGACCAACTATGGTGAGGAGGGGACGCACGTGGGGAGTGCAGCCGCCTTGGACAACACGGACCTCGTGTTTGGCCAGTACCGGGAGGCAGGTACGTCTGCCATAGCCCGGCCCTGCGGAGCACGTGCCAGAGGTCAGGGCTGTGGTCCCAATCGGAGCAGGTCAGGCCCAGTCCCTCCTGGTGTGCAAGTGAGGCCCACGTTAGTTACCCCGTGTGCTCTTTGAGGAGTGGTGTGATGCCAGAGAGGTAGAACTTTCCAGCAAGGAAGAGCCAAGCCAGGGATAGGAGCTTGGAGGCGGTGGGCTTCCCCTCTGGAGGCCGGCAGCATTGTGGTTAAGAGCCTGTGATCCAACCGGTCCCTGGTTACCAGTTGTCAGATTTGGGGCAAGTCACTTCCCTTCTCTGAGCCTCGGTTTTCTCATCTCCAAAATCAAGGTGAGGATGATATTGCAACCCCTGCATTGTGGGGTTGCTGGGAGCACACAGGGAGGTCTCTCCAGGCACGGTGGCCTCCTGGAAGCCGCAGCAGAGAGGAAGGCCTGGCGGGTCCCAGCCAGGGAGCTGGCTCACTTCTGAGTGAATGAGTATGAGGAAGGGAGGGTCAGAGACCAGAACCGAAGAAAATCAGTGTGCATTGAAGAGTGGCGGGGGTGAGGGAGGGAGCCTGCGGAGCTGCGTGGAGAGTTCCAGAGTGGTGGTCGGTACAGGGGCCCTGCAAGGGAGACCCCTGTGGGGGTGTCGGGAAGGCAAATCTTGACCCTTCTTAGGTGCTGCATGACTACGGGCAAGTTGCTTAACTGCTTCTTGCCTCAGTTTCCTCATCTGTAATGGGAGATGGTGAACCTTCCCACGGCCGTTGTTGAGGGGATTCATGGGGTAGGTGACGCAGAGCCGTCAGCATAGGGCCTAGCATGGGGTAAGCACTCAGCATTGGAGGCAATTTTGCGATTGGGGCCTCTTGCCCTGGGACAGCTCTTCAGGAAGATGGGGCCTGGCCAGCTGGCTGTGCGGAGTACCTCCCTGGACCAGCATGGCATTCCGGTCTGTCTGGTCCCCTCTCCACTGCATCAGCCCCCCATCCCACAGGCTGTAGGAGGACAGAAGCCCTGTGGTAAAGTCTGTGGTTCAGCATTGTTAGCAAGGAAGATGAGATTTCCCCAGACACTGGGCCACAAACCAGGCCCTGCTAGGTTTGCTGAGAGTCTCCCGCCTGTTGTTGTGAAGGGGTCTCCCTGGCAAGGGCTCCAGGCAGGGCCGCATGAGCACCCTGCAAGCTGGGCATCAGTGAACGCTCTAAACAGGGCTGTTTGGGCCCTGGCTACCCTGCAGGAGGGAGCCCTCCAGCGCCGCGGGTCGGCAGGAGGCCCCATGTGCAAGTAGCTGCTGAGGGTGCTCGTGGGGGGTAAGGAGGTGAGTCGGACCCTGGGCACCAGGCCCTCTCAGTCTGCCTACCCTGTGGAATGGGGACAACAAGAGACTCAGAACAAAGCCAGCGCTCAGTGGAGCGCCCTGACACCAAGGTGCTCTGTCCTCGGTGCCAGATGCATTGGTGGCTGTGTCCCATTTCATGGCTCAGCTGAGGGCCCTGCCTGAGGCCCCACCAAAATAAGGGCAGGCCTAGACTGTACTACCTCAGGGAACCGCCCCCCAGCCATGTGAGGCGGTCATCCGGGTCACCCGTCAGAGCCTGACGTGGGGTTCTCTTTACGGTAGATGGGCATTCAGCGGAGAGTTTGTTTAAAGAAAGGGTTTTACTGCCATAAACAGGTATGACCATTTCTTCTGTAGTCAAGTGAGCTGGTGGCCTGTACTTTTATTTGGTTTGTATGATGATTTTAAAAAAAATAATTGAATTAATTGAAACACTTAAAAATCAGGTAGTTTCTCATTAAAAAAAAAAAAAAAGGGCCAAGCTAGGTTTCTTATTTTGATAAGCTGGACGCTCTGGCCTCCCTGGACAGCAGTCGGTTGGTCTGAACAGCCGCCTCATCTTGAGACAGGCCTGTGCTTCCTTGTCTGCTCACCTGGTTCATGCACCTGCCTGGTGCCCTGGGCATCGACTTTGCCGCCCCTGCTCTCACCCAGCTCCATCACTGTACAGATGGAAATGGAAGCCTGGGCAGGAAGGGCTTGCCCCCAGACCCCCACAGGGTTGGTCTGCCCCCGGGGATCCCCCACCCCCACCAACTGCTGCCTCCTCCCCCCGCAGGTGTGCTGATGTATCGGGACTACCCCCTGGAAAAGTTTATGGCCCAGTGCTACGGCAACGTGAACGACCTGGGCAAGGGGCGCCAGATGCCTGTCCACTATGGCTGCAGGGAGCGCCACTTCGTCACCATCTCCTCTCCACTGGCCACACAGATTCCTCAGGGTGAGGACACACGCCCCGGGCCTGGACCATGTTGTACCCCTGCTCAGGCCCGGCCCTTCTCCATCCCAGGGCGACTTCCCGGCTGGTGATGTGGTCAGCACTGGTCTGACCTCCAGACCTTCCAGACCCTTCTTGTCTGGGGCCTTTCAGAGCAGGGCTGTGGCAGTGGCCCCACCCTTTGGGCAGCCTTGAGCCAGCGTGACCACACTCTTGATTTCCAAAACTTGTGCCTACCCCGTGTGTCCGCTCACAAACATGGCCAACTGTGTGTGATTGAGCGTATGCCAGGTTCCTTGCTAAAGGTCACCCCGCAGGTAGTGAGAAAAGCAGGGACTCAAGTCATGGGCTACATGGCTCCAGAGCCTGGGTTCTTGGCCCGGCCCCTGCTGTGCTTCAGTCCAGCTCCCTCAGAATTCACTCTGGAGCCCACAGCGCTTAGAGCAGTCGGTATGGCTTCTGTCAAAGGCGACTGCTTGGGAAGCAGACCCACTGGGCGGCAGCCTGCTCCGACGCAGCGCGGAGACCATGGAGCGTACCTCCCTCCCTGCCCTCTGCAGCCCGCCCGGGGTCAAGGATCAGTCTGGGCTTCAGCTTTGTCTGCTCAGGGCAGCCCGGCTACGTGAGTTGCTGTCTGTGGGCTAGCAGAGCGCCTGGCATGTCAGAAGGCCCGATAGCCTTTGAAGTGGGAGGTGGGCAGGGTAGCCTTCTAGGAGGAGGTGACATTTTCAAAGAAGATAGGTAGGATTTCCGTAAGGCGGGGCCCCGGCCCTCACCTTCCATTTGGGTGACCATTAAGTCACTCAGCAAATGTGCAGAGTCCCTGCCCCTGTGGGCACCATTCTAGGTATAATGAACAAGGGACAGACAAAACCCTCAGCCCTCCTGGTGCTGACATGATGGTAGTGGGGACAGACAGTCAACAAGACGAAGTGACCCGGAGCATGTCAGGGGCCGTAGGTCCTACAGGGAGAAAGGAAACAGAGGGAGTGCCATGAGGTGGGGGCAGTGGGGTGGCATTAGTAGGGGACATTTCAGCACAGACCAGGAAGTGGGGTGGGGATCTGGAGGGGGTGCCTACTTGGTGTGTTGGAGGTTCTCGGGGCGCAGGAGCAGCCCAGTGGGGGCTGCTGTGGATGATGGGGGCGGGGAGGTGGTAGACAAGTCAGAGCTTTGAGAGGGTGCAGACCTGCCGGGCCTCTAGGCACTTTGACTTTTACCTGGAGTGGAAGGGAGCTGTAGGGAGGGCCCCAGGTGCTGCTGTGGAATGAGCCTGACTCACAATTTAACAGCCCTCTGGCTGCCCTGAGGGTAATAGATTGGGCCAAGACTGGGCTGGTGAGGGTGAAAGGCGACTTGACTGGTGTGACCTGGATGAGATAAAGGAGGTCGGGGGAAGGGATCTGATTCTGGCTCTGTTTCGAAGGTGGCAGGTGTGGGATGACAGAGTTAGGAGTCAAAAGTGCTAGGGTTGGGGCCTGAGGAATTGGGAGGATGGAGCTGCCATCAGCTGAGGGGAGAAGATGGGCCGGGCAGGTTCTGGGGGGACGATCAGGATGTCAGGTGTTTTCTTCCCCCTCAGAGCCTGGTGACAGCCATCCTGAGCCCAGGAACCTTGGTTGGGTGGGGTGAGTGTGTGTGTGTGAGGTGAGTGTGCATGGGGCTCTTCTGCTCACCACCATCTCACTCCCTGCAGCGGTCGGGGCGGCCTATGCGGCCAAACGGGCCAACGCCAACAGGATTGTCATCTGTTACTTCGGTGAGGGTGCAGCCAGTGAGGGGGATGCCCACGCCGGCTTCAACTTTGCCGCCACCCTCGAGTGCCCCATCATCTTCTTCTGCCGAAACAATGGCTATGCTATCTCCACGCCCACCTCTGAGCAGTACCGCGGGGATGGCATCGGTATGGGCCTGCGTCTGGGCCTGCGTCGTCTCCTCCCTCCCCCTCCTGTTCTCTTCCTCCAGTGTCTGGCACGGGGGAAGCCCCAGGGACCGTGAGTGAAGTGCTGCTCTGTCTCTTTCCTCTCTTCTCCTCCCCTCCCGTCTCCTCTCCCATTCCCTGCTCATTGTCCTGATCTGAGCCTTGGGGTCTGACCTGCCTTCCTGTCCCCACAGCGGCTCGAGGCCCTGGGTATGGCATCCTGTCGATCCGTGTGGACGGCAACGATGTGTTTGCTGTGTACAACGCCACCAAGGAGGCCCGGCGGCGGGCTGTGGCAGAGAACCAGCCCTTCCTTATTGAGGCCATGACCTACAGGTGCCTGGCCCCCCTCACCCCCTACGAGCCTTCACAGCCCGTCTTTAGCATCTTCCCCACACTGATCACTGACCCTCATCACACAGGTCATAGCCCCTTCCTTGCCTTTATTACATGTCCAACCCCTCCCCGCTGGGCAGGATTGGGCACCACAGCACCAGCGACGACAGCTCGGCGTACCGCTCAGTGGATGAGGTCAATTACTGGGACAAGCAGGACCACCCCATCTCGCGGCTGAGGCACTATATGCAGAGCCACGGCTGGTGGGACGACGAGCAGGAGAAGGCCTGGCGGAAGCAGTCTCGCAAGAAGGTGAGGGCCCCAGGGGCGTGGAGAACTCTGGAAGGATGGAGATGGGGATCTGGGGGACGCTGAACTGGGCAGGCGATTCAGGGATCACCCAGTGACGATTCTCACAGGGATCACCCAGTGATGCACCTTTGCTGGGTCTTTGGCGTGATGTCTGCCCTCTGCTCCCTCATCTCTGAAGAGGGATCCCGGGAGCCCACATGAGAATGTTGTCCAAGGATGAGGTGACTTAGTCTGAGTGTGGCATTACTGTACCATGCAGAGCCAGCCCGCTGCCCTCCCTGGCCCTGCCCATCGGGAGCCAGAGGCAGCGCAGGCCAGCAGTAAAGGCCAACCCTGGCGTCAGGCAGTGCAGAGCGTCTGTCTCTGCCTCTCACTGTGTCATCATGGGCAAGTCCCTTCTGTGCCGTGGTTTCCTCACATCTAAGCTGTCTGCTTCTTAGGGCTCCTAAGAGGCTGAAACCGTCCTGTGCACGTAGTCCAGTGCCCGCTCCTGCAGAGCATGGAAGTGCTGGGGTTGGGGGTGCTGATGGGGCATGTTGGCCATCATTACTGTGATGATGATCGTCTCCATTGTTCAGATGGGAACATGAGTGCTCACGGGGTGGTTAATCCCTCACTGAGGTAGCACAGGTAGGAGGCAGGGCCCTGGGTGGGAGGTCAGCTATCTGCCTACCATCCTGTGTCCCCCAGGTGATGGAGGCCTTCGAGCAGGCTGAGCGGAAGCTGAAGCCCAACCCCAAGTTGCTCTTCTCGGACGTCTATCAGGAGATGCCAGCCCAGCTCCGCAAGCAGCAGGAGTCCCTGGCCCGTCACCTCCAGACCTACGGCGAGCACTACCCCCTGGACCACTTTGAGCAGTGAGGCCTGCTAGCCCCACCCCCCACCTCAGCCACCCCTTGAGGCAGCTCCAGGTTGAGGGGCGGAGGGAGGTGGCAGGACACTGTCCCCATTCCCAGCCAGCTCTTCCCAAGATACTTGGGCCCCAGGGCAGTGCCTGAGATGGTAAGGGGAACTTCCGCTCACCACCCCTGCTCCTCCACACTGTTACATTGTGGGGGGCTCTGTCAGCCCCCCCTTTGCCTTCTCCCAGGGACCAGGCCTATAGGACTGGAAGCCCCTCTGGGCTGGGGGCGGGCATGGCAGGTCAGCACGTGGAACTTAAAGTGAGAGGTGCAGCAGACAGTGAATAAACTGTGTCTGTACTTGGCTTTCTGCCACCTCTGGTTTCTGTTTCTGGGTGTTTTGGAGGTGGGAGGAGAGTCCTGCATGACTAGTTTTGGACCCCCCCTCCCCCTTTTACTTTAGATGAACAAGGCCAAGGCCGTTGAGATGTCTACTTCCCCCGGAAACTTTCGCAAACTGAAGGGCTAGCTTCAGCAGACAGGCGGGGGTGGGGGTGCTCCAGAGGTGGACTCCTTTCCCATAGGATGAGGCAAACCTGGTGTCTAGCAAGGTAGCCAGGAGACTGCTGGAACTGGCTCTGTCCAGTAAGGGCGAGGAGGTATTGAGTGTAAAGGTTGAGATGCGGCTGAGCTCTGCACTGTAAACTCTGGGGCCCACAGATACAAAGACAGCTACAGGCCTCAGAATGGGAAGGACATATTTTTCAAAAATAAAAAGTCAGAAATAGTCTTCCACCTTCTGCTGCTCAGTCCCATAGGCTGGGCGGCCCAGGAGGAGCTCAGGCAGCTGTGATTCCAGGACCCCCCCGTCCCCCCCGCCCCCACCAAGGCCTAGAAGGAGAAGCTGAGCAAGGGGTAGGCGTCCAGGCCTAGGCCAGGTCCACCCACTCCTCCAGTCTTCCCCAGGGCTCAGCAGAGGAGCTGAGGGTCTTGCAGGCGTTTCCAGAGCCGAATGCTGTCCTGGGGGCTGAGGGGCCGCACCAGCAGCAGGTTCTGGAGGGCACAGGGCTCAGCCGTGCGGTCTGCTGGCCAGGCTGTGAGGAAGCCTTTGTGGGCCCTGGGCACCAGGCCCAGGGCACGGAAGCACAGGCCGATGTAGACGTCATTGAAGGGGAACGGTGCCACACGGGCTGCCGCCTGCAGCAGCCAGGGTGCCAGGCGACCAGCGATGACATAGCCGCCCCCACTGGCATAGGCCGGGTAGTCACCTTCGAAGAAGGACCCGGGAACGTAGAAGGGTCCTCCGGGCTTCCGGAGGGGCTTGGCCTGGGTAAAGACCTCGCCCAGGTAGAGGCCTGGGGCCCAGCTGGGTGGCAGGGCCCGCAGGTAGTCCAGCAGGGCAGGTGTGTGCACGAAAGCGTCATCTTGAGCTTGCAGGATAAAACTCACCCCAGGGCAGTGGTGGCTGAGCCAGGACAGCAGCAGCAGGTCCTTGAGCGTCTGGTTGAAGGGGAAGTCAAGGAAGTCCCAGAGCAGCAGGTCGCTGTAGCGGTGGCTCTCCCAGGCCACCAGGGGGCCTAGATCAGGGCCCCCCTCACCTGCTGGGGACCCCAACAGGAAGAGCAGCCGGATCCCTAGAGCTGGACCACCCCAGGTCTCTCTCACGGCCTGTCGTTCTGCAAAGCGCCCTGGTTCCGATTTGACAGCCAGCAGCAGGTAGGGGACGGCGGTTTCCCTGCAGCTGGCCACTTGGCCACTGCCCCCTTCAGGCAGCCACTGTGGGAAGCTCCGGCAGGCCGCTGATAGCAAGAAGCGGCGGAGGTCCTCAGGGTAGGAGGTGAAGTCAGGGATCTCAGCGGCGGCAGCGGCTCCCCACGCCCGGCAGCCCCCCGCCTCGGTGCTGTTCCCACTGGGCAGGGCCCCCAGCCGCCACTGCTGCTGGTTCCAGTAAGCTGAGGGCAGTGGGCCAGTCTGGCCCAGACGGGCGGAGAGGTTAGCCGGAAGGGTGGGCTCGAGGCCGGCTGCCGTGGGGCCTGGCAGGGTGCCCTGGGGTCCTCGGTAGGCCTTGCTCAGCTGAGACTCCGACGCCCACTCAATGTACACTTTGAGTCCCAGGAGCGTGAGCAGGGCTGACAGGCAGAGAAGGCACTTGGGGCAGCGCATGACCCGGCCCAGGGAAGGGGTGGCTGTGGGAGCTGCAAAGGAGCCACAGAGGCCTTTGGGGTGCAGGGATGGACCCCAGCCCCCACAAACCCCTGTAACAGCCTCTCAGTGCCAGACCCTAAACCGACCCCGGACCAAAGACCCGACTCTCCCATGTTCAGGGACCTGGAATCGCTGCTCTAACCTCCTTCCAATTCGTCCTCTTTCCTCTCAGCCCAGCCCCTTCCACCAGCCTGCCCCCCACCTCCATATATCCCCCTCACCAGGATTTGGGATCACTGGGGTCAGTTCCTCCCGCTGTCATAAAAGCTCAGTTTCTTTTGCACCAACGGCCCCCACCCAAGGGACTGGGGAGACAGGGACCTGCTCCCTCCTCTTTACCTCTGGGTCCAGCTCCCCAGCTCCGGTGCCCTGGGCTTCTGGGCTGGCCCTCCCAGTTCCCTCCCTTCTGCCCTCGTCCTGCTGTGGCTGTGTCGTTGTTCTTCAGCTCAGCTCAGCTCAGCTCAGCCCAGCCCAGCCCAGCCCAGCCCAGCCCAGCCCAGCCCGTCCAGAGGGGCGGGGGCAGGGAGGGGAGCAGGCAGCAGGGAG